AATATTTCGAGCCAAAACAAGCCAAACACGCATGAACAAATCTTAATTCATACTCGGCTCATTTTTATATCAAGTGCTTAAAAAGTGTTCGTATTCGACTTCTTAGCTCAACGAACGAATCGAATACGAGCTATTTCAAGCTAAAATGAGTCAAACACGAATGAATAAATATTTATTAGTGTTTTGCTCGTTTATATATCGAGCTCTAAGAAAGTGTCTATGTTCATCTCGTTATCTTAACAAATGAATCCAATACGAGCTATTTAACTAGCCGAACACGAGCTAAAGCCTTCTCCATGAAACACTCCAATTAACCTTTTATATATATATATATATATAATCTATTCAAAGTAGAAATTGAATTAATTAAGCAGGCAGCCTCGGCATGAAATGACTATTATATCTCTATAGGAGGAGCCACTATGGATCATCTTCGCACGTGACATGGTCATCCGGCTGAACGAGGAGCTGATGTTGAACAGCCACAAGACCATCGACGGGCGCGGCGCCAACATCCACATCGCCTACGGAGCCCAAATCACGGCCCAATTCGTCCACCACATCATCCTCCACAACCTCCACATCCACCACCTCTCCCCCGGCAACGGCGCCATGATCCGCGACTCCCCCTCCCACTACGGCCTCCGCACCCGCAGCGACGGCGACGGCATCTCCATCTACGGCTCCTCCCACATCTGGATCGACCACATCTCCATGTCCGCCTGCGCCGACGGCCTCATCGACGCCATCATGGGCTCCACCGCCATCACCATTTCCAACTGCCACATGTCCAACCACGACGACGTCATGCTCTTCGGCGCCAGTGATGCCTACGCGGACGACGCACTCATGCAGGTGAAAGATGTTTTATAAAAATGTTTCATTTACTTTACAAAATGATCACTTGTATTGTTATATAGGTGACGGTGGCGTTCAATCACTTTGGGAGGGGGTTGGTGCAGAGGATGCCGAGGTGCAGGTGGGGGTTTGTGCATGTGGTGAACAACGACTATACGCACTGGAGGATGTATGCGGTGGGGGGGAGTCAGCATCCGACGGTGATAAGTCAGGGGAACAGGTACATAGCGCCGCATGATGGGAATGCGAAGGAGGTGACGAAGAGGGATTATGCGACGGATGAGGTGTGGAGGAAGTGGACGTGGAGGTCGCAGGGGGATTTGATGATGAACGGGGCGTATTTTGTGGAGTCGGGGGAGGAGTTTGTGAGCGGGTATGCGAGGCAGGATGTGATGAAGGCGAGGCCGGGGACGTTTGTGACCAGGCTGACGCGGTACGCGGGGGCGCTTGGGTGCAGGATTGGCCTGCCTTGCTAAACATGATCTTTCTATCATAGTGTTGGTCCAATATGCTAAAATTCACAAAGGAAGGGTTTTTTTTTTTTTTTTATTATTATTATTAATAATAGTTTGGTCATTTGATTAAGATCGTTTTCTTAGTGAATGATATTTTGCAATAATTTCAATCTTTTGGCAGGCAAAAATCTCATTTTTTTTAACTAATATGTTATGTTGTAAACTGTTGCTGTTTGAAAAAGTTGTTGTGAAGCTGTTAAAAAAAGTGTTGTTCAAAAATCTACGGGGACTATTATATATATTTTTTTAAGAAAAAAAAGTTACACCACAACTATTTAGATATGGTGGAAAAATATAACTTTTGGCTGCAGTTTTTTGAGAACGCAGACTAAAAACCATTTTACCAGCCTGAATAAATTGCGGTGCGGCACCTCATCACACAAAAATATGCTATGGTGCTATAAGTGTAAGTGATGTTGTAGGGGTAACTTATAAAGGTTATCATGAAAATCCTTAAGACCTCACGTCACACACACATATATTAAAACATAATCACACGAGCTAACAAAATAAGATAACACTTCAATTATCTCCCAATTGTGAGATCATGTATTGATCGATCAAATTGAAATGTTTGATACAAATGATTCTAATTGCAACTGAGAGGTAGAAGATGGAATTTTAATAGTTCATGTTATTGAAATAAGATGAGTATTGATCAATATTTGGTCATAGAGGAATTTTTACTCCTTATAAGAAGAACAACAAGTTTTATCATGTACTAATGAAGTTATGTCATATGGACTACTAGGTCATATATGATTGTGACCCTATAGAAAGATGGAATCTAAAAAGTGTACAAAGTCAGTTTTGTTGATTGTGTAAGGGATTAATTCTTTGTATAGTGTTTTTATTAATTAATTGATTTTTTAGGCTATTTATAATTAGTTTTAAAACAATTTAAAGTATATTATTAAAAGTTAATATATTTCAATTAAAAAATAACTAAAATAATTCAATTGAAATTAAAACATGACAACATAAACTAATACAACATCGTCAAAGTCACTAATGATTTCATAAGTTCAAATATCAAAATTGGCACATTAAACCCCTAAAAGACATATATAAATTATTTTATGAATTAAATAAATTATAAATAAGCATGGCATTTTAACATTAAAAAAAAAATGAAGTAAAACATATCCTTAAGTTTTATTCATGAAAATTTAAAGATAGAGACAATGCAATAAAAATAATTAGAAGTCATTTTAATTAATAAAATATATGGTATAATTTAAAATTAAAACAAATAAAATAAATCATAGAAAATTTATGTGAACTAAAAATTATCTTAATGTTTTTATGGAGAGTTTGAGACAAAATCCTAAGCCTCCTTCAAACTTAAATTAAATTTGTGGGCCTTTTGATTTTTTAATAAATTTTTGAATGAATAATGGCTACTAAATAATAAATAATTCAAATTAATTCTACAAATTCTCAAAATTTTATGAAATCATTTCCTAGATTTTTTTTTTAACCTTATAAATTAGTTTCATAAAATTTTCAGTGCACCAAAACAAAAATAAATACATAAATAAAAACACATGATGAATTAAATTTTAATAAAACTTAAACAAATGTAAAATCTAAAAAACTCACTTTTTTGTGCTCATAGATATTATGATATATAAATTTATTTCTTTTGATTGTCTTAAGTTTTTTCTAATATCTAGAGTGTTCAAAATGACAAATTTTGCTCTTGGCTTTAACTCATAAGTTCATAAGTATTCTTTAAATATCTATATTCGCCCATGAATTAACAAAATTTTTAAAACCCAAATAAAATTCTTTAAAATGTTAATCATTTGAACTCAAATCACCCAATGATATTATTAAACCAAAAATCAAACTAAAACTCTAGCCCTAAAATCTAATTCAAATTCACCACATAACCTCACACACACAATGGACTTACTTGTTGGAGGATCAACCTAAAATTCTAGGTAATGTAGGTTTGTTATGATTGTTTAGATTAGTGTGATTTCTAAATCAATTAAAAATAATTAATAAATTTATTAGAGCACCTAGAAATAACTAAATCATATGCACTTGCATGTTGATTATTTCTTTATTTTAGGAGCATCACTCATTGCATGTAATAGCTAGGGCATCTAGCTAGTGAGATTAGTCGCCTATTGTAAAGAAGTCTACCTAAAATTTGTCATTTTGAACACTCTAGATATTAGATAGAGATTGAGCTTGCAAACTCTTTCATGAACTTTGTGATTTGGTGAATTATGTTATGAACATATGTTTTAAGTTTGCATAAGAGTTAATTACTCCCAGCAACAAGTTATTAAACAATCTGGTGTCAATTATTTCAAAGTCAAGCAAAAAAAAATTTAGAGCGAAACTTATCTTTAGCAAGCAAACAATGTATTCAAATGACGTCAAGCTACTGGGGGGGATCAAACTTTCCTCAATAAGATTTTAAGGATGGAATCTTAAATCTCTCGAGGGCCTCTAACTCAATGATCTCTTAAGAGAAATCAATCTCCAATTGATATGGACGAGGAGTTTTGGTTCTCCTTCATTCTCTTATGTGTTAGAGCAGGTAACGGATTCCTTTAATATCAAAGGCAAACACCCTTTATAGTATTGGAGCTTTTGGACAAGGAGGTAGCACATGCTCTTCTGACGTTTGGGCTAGCATATCTCATTTCATATTATTTCGACACATCATAAGTCTCCATCACCTTCGTCATCTATTCACTATACTTATTGGTTTGCTGAGACACAAACTTTCTAAGACAATCCACGTTGCTAATAACCTCACTTTGGCTTGATTATGCTCCTTATATAACTCATTTTTTTTGTTTGTGACATAATTTAAGATCATTGGACTTTCATAATGTTCGATCCATATTTATCCGTAAACTCACACTTTAAGAAAAAAAAACTTGGAAGAAAAGAGAGTGAGCTAGATGAGAGGGAAAACACAATTTTTTTTATAGGAGAAAATTTATTTAGGATGTAGTCTCCAGAGATCCATCTCTTTTTATATAGATATATCTTTATTTATCAAAATTTTCTCATATAATGCAAAATAAACACTTATCGAAACAAGGTCCTTAATGATCTCCAATTTAACCACATAGTTTTACTCTCTTCTAACTTTGATATAATTGTTAATACTATCTCTGAGAGTGTTGTATCGTAATATCTGTTTCACATACACTCGTATGGTCACATCTTTATCAACTTATTCTACTTTTGTGATAAACTGGCTCTGAGCAATTTGACATCAAGTTGAGTTGTCATATTCTATTGAGTTGAACTCTTAGACAATGAGATAGATCTGATCCCTTAATCAAAGTGGTGACCTAATCGCGATAGATGAACTATTAACTCACACTCGACTGCTAGCACTTGTCTAGTACTTAGTGACTAGTACTCATCTATCTGTCCACCAACTTGACATGATAGCTGCGCAATGTAATTTATCAATCTACCTTAGCACACTATCCAACTTTTGAGCCTAAGTTTGATAAGGTGACATTCGACTATACAAAGTTAATCAACACCTATAATTCTCTTAGGTCCTCGCGAGAGAGTTTTTCATTCTTTCATTTGAAAAGCTACATTTGTCCATTAAAAACACGAAAATGTTGTTAGAATGAGGGGTTCTCTTATTGTTGGTCTTGAATAAGATATCCTATTTTTTCCATTTGTCACATCTTCTGAAATTCTGAACTAGAAGTCTCCATCTGACTACTTAATAACATGTGTTATATTGCTCTGAAGAACACACCTTAGCTAGCACACTGGCACGATTTAAATCATCTCGATTTATAATGATAACTGCATATTATACAACCAAAGTGCCATTGTCGGCCCAACCAAGTAATGGTTTTAGCTTTTGCATCATCGAAGCAATTTAGTAGAGAAAAAATAGGATTTTTAATCTCAACTATCCAATTTCAATTTAATTATCGACATGGTTAGTTACATTAACTTGATAATCAACTGACACTCTTTTAGGAAAAAATTACAAACTCAAATTCATATTGTTGAATTTGAGTAGGATGTAGGGTCCCGTATTATACGTGGGTACAGACAACTTGGTCGAAGACCCAGTATTGTAGGAAGAGTGCTATAAAGAGAGAAATGAAAAAGATCCTAGCTTACAAAATTTTTAAGAGGAAGAACCAGAGAGCAATAAGCACAAAGTTCTCTAGAAAAAGATATGGAGTCCTTCCGGAAAGGGAGATGAGAGGGTGAGAAAGGATGGCAAGGGAGGTTTAGAGAGATCCATACTCCCCTCTTTCTCTTTCTTGTTGTTGGCCCTTTGATACATGAGAAAGAAAATAGCATAAGATTGTCAAAACAAGACATCAATGACTGTATTTTTGACTTTTACGAGATCAGTGTCGTGACTATGAAATAACAAATGTTAGATATTATTGCTACGACAAACATCCATGATGTTCGGATGATGGTATCGAACCCCAGCTTCGGTCGACTTCCTTTGAGAGATGCAAAAATGTCTTGTTGCCCATAATGAATTCTTCAAATTACTACCTTTGCAGAGGCAGATTTACATTGCCTTCTTGAGGAAGATGGAAACGAGCTAAATCAGTCGTTTCGGCGTGTGGGCTCGATTCATCCACCTCAACCGGCGGGCTCGATTCAACCACTTCAGCAAGTGGGCTCAATTCAGCCACTTTGACAGGTGAGCTCAATATAATCACTTCGACATGTGAGCTTGATTAAGCCAGATAAAATCTAATTAAAAATTTTTACATGCCAACATTACAATATACCGATATTTGTGTGTAAACATTTTTTTTTAACTCACAACTGCATTTTATTTACCGAAAAATTTACCATAACAAAAAAAGCATCATGCAACGTTACTACTCCACGTTCGAACCAGAAAAGACATGTGGATCAAGTTCCCTACATAGCATTCACTTGACTCTCCTTAAACCCAGCCCAATATGCCCCACAAAGGATAAAAAACTAAATATATAATTATCACAAACTGAAATATAAAAATTGCTAATCAGGCTCTTCAGTTTCCCCACCACTAGTTAACATGCATCAGACCATCAAACAAAAATGCCTTTTGGCCCACACACATTGGACCCTTTCCCAAAGCTCTATAATAGCTATCTCCAAGCCAGTAAAAACAATTCACATGTGCAGTGATTTTTTGCACATAGGAAAGACAATTACATGTTCATTATTAATCTCAAACCATAACATGAAAGCTAGATCAAATCAAATGAAACTAGATAGCAATGAAAAACTATCAGATTACATATAATACCTCTTCATGAAGTCATTACAACCACACACTACCAGAAGAAGCTGGTGCTCAGCTGAGACCTCAAAGACAAATGCTGTGAATGATCATCATCATCGTCGTGCGACGGAGAATGAGCGTGTCGTCCTTCGTATGTCGTGATTACCATTCTTGGGTCCTCTGCAAGCCTTTCAACCCTTTTCTTCACACGACAATTATCTTGTGTGCACCTGTAGTAGCTCCTGCACATCATGCACATGATCACATAATGCACACATATATCATTAGGATATGTAAGGCTTTCCAAAAGCACAAACATGAAAAAGAAAAGAAAAAAAAAATAGTAGTGCATTTAGTCTGTTGTACACAAGTTGGGCCCAAACGGGTATATATCACTTGATAATGATTGTGATGATGATAATGATGATGATCATACATCAATCGGAGCCATAAAATTTAATTACCGCCATTAATCAACTGAGTAGATTGATCATTTCCAGATGAAAATGGGAAGACCATCATGGCTTCAGAATGACATGATTGCTGTGGTATCATCAGCTTCAGCACTTTTTAATAGTGGTGAGCCAGTGGAATCATGAAAAGTTAATAGCTAGCACACGGTTTTTTTTGGAAAGGACTTGTCTCCTAAATTTGCTCGTTTAATTGTTTGCTAGCAAAAAACTTTAGCACATGCAATATCATGGATATAGCTACCCTCTATTTTTTGCTGAATTTAAGTTGACATATAGGTTAATGCAAATCACATATATATGTATGTATGTATGTATATGTATATTTTTCGGCATGCTTATGATGTTTGATAAGAAATTGATTTGTCTTGAACTAAATCTTCAGGAAATGTGATGTTGTGAGATCATGACTAAACTTTTTATGAACAAATTGTTTAATTAATCTCTCCGACGTTTAATGAAACTTTACTCTTCGGGAGGATGGAAAAAACAAAGAGTACTTCATATCTCAACTCTTAACCTGATTCAATCAAGTTGGCACTATTTTTGAAGAAAAATTAACAGCGTCTATTTCAGTTGCATTTTACATCAAAGGTATCTCATTCAGGGTGTCTTTGGGGCAGCGGTGCTGTGGTGCTGTCACACCGCAGTTTTCCTGTTTGGCAAAACTGTGTTTTGGATGTGCTCACAAAAAGTTGAAGCTGAAAGCTTAGCTGCGTTTTCCCACCATACCTGGCCACCAGCGATGATAGCTAGAAAGTTGTGGTCTCACTTTAATATATATATATATTTAAAATCACCGCAGTTTTTTGAGCAACAGCTTTACTGCTGCTTCTCCAACAATTACAGCTGCCCCAAACAGACCCTCAGTGTCTAACAGTGTGTTTCAGACAGTGGTGTGGTAATCGTGCGGTGTTGCATTGTATTTTTTTGTGTTTGAAAAAACTGCATTTTGCCTGTTTTTTCAAAAAAACTAATATGAAAAATTGTGTTTTGTAACTTAACCTAGCTAAATGCACTGACTGCTTTTGAAAAAAAAAATTAATAACCACCATAACTTTTTGAACAACGGTTTATTCTGCGGCTGCTTCACGACTGCTTCTTTGAACAGCTGCAGCTGCCCCAAACCGGCCTTAACATTCAATGTAACAAAAGCATAGCTGATGCGAAAAAAGAGGAAAAGAGTCCTCGAGAAAACATTTACATCTTCCATCCACATTCAAATGCAGTCAATAGAATGTCAAGTTGTCTTCTTACTATCTCTCATTATGAAAAGCTTAACATTCAAATGCATCAAATGCAGTCAATAGAATGTCAAGTTGTCTTCTTACTGTCTCTCATTATGAAAAGCTTAACTTTGAATAAACGGATACAAAGTATAAATAGTGTACGAAAACTGCATTAGTGCATCCACCTGCATTCAAAGCTCTAAGAACTATAGCTTGGCAAACTATTAATTAGTTATATTTTCAGTTGTTTCGAATTCTATTTACATATGGAGCTAAATATCAACTCATAACACGCAGTTAGTAAAGTATGAATAGTTTTGTACATGTTAAACCAATATGAAAGAAAATATTCATATGAATTTAGCTCTAAGCGAGGGTGTTAATAGTTTTTCTAATGAACAATAGCTGCTTCTTAATTGAGAAAGAAGCAAGCTATTTATTCTTCATGTTCTTATTTCACTTGATGTAATCCCCCTTTCCTTTATATTGCCGCACTGTAGCAGAAACCATCAGTCCTAGAAATAAGTGCCACTGAATGATATCAATATTTTCTTAGGTGAACAGTAATAAGGCTGCCGTTGAGAAGCAAAAACCGTAGTTTTTTTTCTTTCAAAATAAGGGGCAAGAATCAAATATACGCGTATCCCATCCTGTTGGTTGGCATCCTCGGTATAAGACCCCTCGGGTCAGGGATTCGAATTGTCTCTGATGACGTGAGCCTTAAGGAAGTGGTACTCGAATAGTTAAGCACATTAGGAGTGGTTGAAGGCTAGTATAATAGCCTCTTGCCATTTCTTTTCAATATATATATATGTATATGAAGATTGCTTGCCCAATGATTGCTAATGATTAAAGATGACATTTTTTTCTCAAAATGACTGATTCAAGTCATACACTTTATAATTCACCGTATATTATTTCAAAAAAGCCAAAGATCACATAAAAATAAGAGATTGCAAAATAGTTGGCAAAGTAATTATAATATAACAATTTAATATGTGTTGCATGTATGCACTTTATCTTAGCTATTTTGTCTTAGATATCCTGCCATAGAAACTTTCTAAACACTAACAACATAGTTTTTTTTTTTTCATGACAAAAAGCTAGGGTGCTTTATACAATAATAATTCCTTATCTTTTAAATTGGATTTCATAAGATTGAAATCAACTCTCACCCTATAATTTGGAGGGAAGTATTTGTTCATTTCAAATTACACCTAAGTCATTAAGGGGGGTTAAGTTGTGTTGAGTGTTTAGGTTGAAGTGGAAGTGTTCTTCTCTTGTGTTCAAGGCCAACTTTCAATCCCCAAAATTTTTTTGTAAGTTTGATTCTTTATCTACTTTAACTTTCATCATTTTATTGAATGTTTAAATTCAATTTATTTAGTTATTTATTTGCTCAAATTCCTAAAAATTATTTTTTATGTTCAATATCGGGTTAGTTTAAGTCCAATTTATGCTCAATTTAGTTCTCCTGTTCATAAAAAATGTGGCAGCTTCCCAACATCATCTTTGTTTAGTTAGAAGGCTATATCGGGGGTGCTAAAACTTTCCATGTGCTTAAAAAAGCTTCGATAGTCGATGACTTATGGTATTACGACTGGGGTATTTGCACCTACAAAATTTTAAAAAACATACATAGGTCGTCAATACATGTGTAGAAACATAATAGTATTTTCTTGTCATATTGGAATAGTAAAAATAGAAACTTAAAGTATTTTTTTTTTCTACCAAGACGGAACAACCCGCACGGGTTTAAATAAGGTTTCCCCACCACATTGGAATAACATGCACATATCTTTATCAAAAAATTATCCCTGACTTGACTATAGTGGTAGAGCTCAGTGCCAACACAACGAGTTTGATAGATGACATTGATAATGGGAATAATGTTGGCAAGGTGAGACAAGAGGCATCAACCGTCAACAGTATTTTAGGAGTAATATGCCAACAATTTGAAGCTTCAACGAGTGGTGTGCCAAGGGTGGGAAGCAACCCAAATGAGGAGATCATGGCGATGTGTAGCAACGATAAGGTGGTGAGATTAAATTAAAAAATACAAACTATAAAATTTTGAAATAGATGTTATATTTGAAGTATGTAGTGTAATATTATGCTATATTTGAAGTATGTAGTGCAATAATTTAAATTAAAAAAAAATTAGAAACTAAAATATCAAAATTATTTTACCATTCCTTATACCATTGGGGATAATTTTTTTAGAAAAGCTTTTTATGACCTAAGAGCTTGTATTAACCTTATATCCTTATCCACCTTTAGGAAATTTGGTCTATTAGAGATCTAGCCAATCAATATAACCCTTCAATTAGCCGATCAATCTCTAACTTATCCTAGATAGGTCATAAAGAACATGTTAGTTAAATTAGATAAGTTTCTCTTCCCAATTGAATTTTATGTATTAGTTTTAAAAGGGGACAAAGAGGTGCCCATCATCATAAGAAGACTAATTTTAGCTTGAAAAGGGGCCATAATTGATGTTTCGAAAGAGAAACGGACTATAAGAGTACAAGATAGTCAATAACTAATTGTTAATGTGTTGAAATTAATGCAATTCTCTACTGATTCTAGTGGTTAATGATATAAGATAGATTTGGTGGATAAGTTAGTGAGATGCCAACTTTATAGGAGTTTTGAGGTTGATCCATTAGAGCACCTGGTAACTGTTAGAAAAGAGCTTTCTCCATATTTAGAAGTTGCACCTAGTCTTTATAAAGAGATGTTTGAGAATTTGGATATTGTATCTTTACAAGAGCAGTTGGAAACATATATTGTGGATGCACCTAAATTAGAATTGAAGACTTAGCCTAAATATTTAAAATATACCTTCGTATGAGGAGCATCAACTCTTTATATTATAATCTTTACAAAATTTGATGATCTTTAGAAAAATAAACTTATAAGAGTGCTAAGGACATATAAAA